AAAATAACAAGTATTGGTAAGATTGTAGAGAAATTGGAACACTTGTACACTGTTAGTGGAAATATAAAATGGTACAACCTCTATGGAAAACAATATGGAAGTTCCTTTAAAAATTAAAAATAGAACTGCCATATGATCCAGAAATTTCTCTTCTAGGTATTTATCCAAAAGAACTGAAAACAGACATATTTGCACACCCATGTTCATAGCAGCACTATTCACAATAGCCAAGAAGTAGAAGCAACTCAAATGTCCATTGACAGATGAATAGATAAAGAATATGTGATATATACATACAATGGAATATTGTTCAGTCTTAAAAAGGAAGGAAATCCTGTCACCTGCTACAACATAGATGAACCTTGAGGACATTATGTTAAGTGAAATAAGCCAGTCACAAAAAGACAAATATTGTATGATTCCACTTATATGAGGTATCTAAAGTAGTCAAATTCATAAAGACAGAAAGTGGAATGGTGGTTGCCAGGGGCTGGGGGGAGGGGGAAATGGGGAGTTGTTGAATAATGAGTATAGAGTTTTAGATTTGCAAGATGAAAAAGTTCTGGAGATCTGTTTCACAAGGTGAGTATACTTAACAGTACTGAACTGTACACTTAAAAATGGTTAAGATGGTAAATTTTATGTTATATGGATTTTTACCACAATAAAAAAAGTGTGTAAAAAAATGCCAGAAAAAAGGGGGCCAAGGTAGATGAAACAAGAATGACTTAATATTGATAGTAGTTGAAACTGGATATAGCATGGACGTTTATTGTGCTATTCTCTTTACCTTTGTATGTTTAAAATTTTCCATAATAAAAAGTTATTAAAGCAAGAGTTAGGGAGCATGAGCTTTGTGGACAGAGCTGAATTTGAATCTTAGCTCCACTTTTCAAAAATTGAGATATAATTTACATACCATAAAATTCACCACTTTAAAGTGTACAATTCAGTGGTATTTAGTCTTTTCACAGAGTTGTGCAACTATCAACACTATCTAATTCCAGAACATTTTTGTTACCCCAAAAGGAAACCCAGTACTCGCTAGCAGTCATTCTCCATTCCCCCTTTCCCCTAGTCCCTGGCAACCACTAATCTATTTTTCCATCTCTATGGATTTTCTAATTCTGGACAATTCATATAAAAGGAATCATACCACATGTGGCCTTTTGTGTTGGCTTCTTGCACTTTATAATGTTTTCAAGGTTCATTCATGTTGTAGCATGAATCACTACTTCATTTCTTTCTATGGCTGAATAATATTCCCTTGTATGGATATACCAGATTTTGTTTATCTACTCATTAGTCGATGCACATTTGGGTTGCTTCCACTTTTGACTATTATGAATAATGCTGCTATGAACATTCATGTATAAGTTTTTGTGTGAACATACGTTTTCAATTCTCTTGGGTATATACCTAGTAGTGGAATTGTTGGATTATATAATAACTCTATGTTAACCCTTTGAGGACCTTCCAGACTGTTTTCCAAAGTGGCCACACCATTTTACATTCCCACCAGCGATATATGGAGGATTCCAATTTCTCCACATCCTCGCCGACACTTGTTATTTTACATTTTGAAAATTATAGCCATCCTAGTATGTGTTACCTGGTTTCTCATTGTGGTTTTTTGATTGGCATTTCTCTAATGACTAATGACGTTGAACATCTTTTCATGTGCTTATTGGACAGCTTCACTTTTTACCTATGTGACTTTGGTCAAGTTCACCATCCTCTGAGCCTCCTTGTTCCTTCATCTGTAAAAGGGAGAAATGCCTCATGATGTTATTGCAAGGTTAGTGGACACGTGGTGAGCTTGGGACAGTGCCTGGTACATAGTAGGTACTCATCAGTTAATACCTAATATTAGTTTGCTACTTGAGCTCTAAGTAATCTGCAATCCAGGCAGACTTTTCTCAGTGATGTTGGCACATCTGTTGTAGAAGTCAAATGCTGAGACGATGGTGCCCTTTCATTAGCCATGGCTCCTTTTCTTTTTCACCTCTGTGGGCTTTTTTTTGCTATTCTGTCAACTCCTGCTCTATGTCCTTCCTAGTGCTGGTTAGGACCACGAAGGATACACGCAAGAGTAAGAAGGAATCTATGGTTTAAAAACTTGGGGCCAGCCCGGTGGCGCAAGCGGTTAAGTGCGTGTGGTCCACTGCAGCGGCCCAGGGTTCGCCGGTTCGGATCCCAGGCGTGCACCGACGCACTGCTTGGCAAGCCATGCTGTGGCGGCATCCCATATAAAGTGGAGGAAGATGGGCACGGATGTTAGCCTAGGGCCAGTCTTCCTCAGTAAAAAAAGAGGAGGATTGGCAGATGTTAGCACAAGGCTGATCTCCTCACCAAAAAAAAAACAAAAAAAACTTGGAGATGATGATATTGTCAAGTTAGTTCCATGACTGTGTCAACTGTTGTGACAGTTGACGTAACAGCTGACGTAAGAGTGACAGTTAACTCAGTGTAAGAGTTAAAAGGAGGGAAATAATCAAAGAATTTATATCAGAGGCAGTAGGCCTATGGAAAGTATTTGGAACATTGGGAAAGAGAGGCAGTAAGGCATTCTAGGCAGGGAAACAAAGGAAACAGGAGTAATCTTGAAGAAGGGTAGTTAGCAAACTAGCCTGGTAGGAGTGGGGTGCTGAGGAATTGTGAGGGAGATTTGTGAGATTCTTATTCTATTGTTTTCCATTACTTACCTCAGAATACGTCATGAAAGAAGTTCTGTACCTGGAATCATGAGACTTTTGTTCTAATCTTGGTTCTGCTGCAAATTAGCTAGGTAACTATGTCAAGTCATTTATCCTTTCTAGGCCTCAGTTGCCTAAGCAGTAAAAAGAGTAATTGGGTATACGTATATAGAATCACCATGATGTACACTTTAAATATCTTACAATAGGTTAATTTTATCTCAATAAAGCTGAAATTTTTTTAAAAAAAATGAATAATTGGATTAGTTCAGTGGTTCTTAATTGGGAGTGTACATCAGAACCTACTGGAAGCTATTTTGGAATATAGGCATTTGGATTACCCTCAGGAAATTGTTTCAGCAGATCTGAGGTGAGGCACAGGTTTGTATATTTTGAAAATGCTCTTCGGGTGATTGTGATTTATATTTGTAGTGTTATAAGAGCCACTGGATTAGTTAAAAATCACTAGTCCTTGGCTTTCTGGAGTTGAAGCCACTTGGATGGTGGCATAATCAGCTTCAGACCAGCTAAAGGTAATGCATTGTAGTAGAAAGAGCATGGACTTTGGTGTCAGTTTGGCCCAGGTTCCTGTTTCCTAGCTCTCTGGCCCTGAGCATGGCACCTCACTTCTCTAAGCCTCAGTTTCCTCATCTGTAAAATGGGGCTTATAATGCCTATGTGGTCAGGTTGTGATGATGCGAGAGAATGTATCACACTTAGCACTGTGCCTGGTATAAGGCAGATGGATGCTCAGTCAGTGACTTGTATGAGAGGTGCTGGAGGAAACTATCACCAGGGGACAGCATAAAACTGTACTATCCTGACCCACCTGGAGTTAGTCATAACTCTAGGTGTAATTATGTTGCAGTACAAAGTAAGGATTTTTGTTTCCTTTGCCTGCATATCAAACAAATACAGACCTTGCTTTGCTGTCTGCTTACCATTGTCCCTCCCCTTGTGTGACTTAATGTGTGGCATGACTATCTACTGTGACTAGACTCTCTTTCCGTAGCCTAGCATAAGTTTAATGTATTGCAACTCCTGTCAGACTCCAGAAAACTACCATTTCTTTGTAATTTAAATGAAAAAATAGGTCAGTTGAGTTCAGCAAAATTATCAAGGTCCACAGACTCTAGAGCTAAAATCCAGGCTTTGCTCCTTTCAGCCGTGTGAGCTTAGGGATAGTAATGTAAGATGGGGATAATAATAGTAGTTATGGTCTCATAAGATTGTTTTGAGTATTAAATGAGTTAACGCATGTAAAGTACTTGAAACGTCACTTAGCACACAGTACACGTTCAGTATCTATTAGCCATTATTATTCATATTACTATGCTCCAGGTCTTATGTGGGAGCGAGGAATACAGAGATAAATAAAGTCTCTGTGGTCAAGGAACTTAGTGTGGTGGAACCAGTATGCAGATCATTCTAGTATGCTTTAAGTGTAGCGACAGAGGCATGCAAAGGAAGGGCACTTAATGGTCTGCCTCTATTATATAAAAAATAGTGCTCTCTAGGAAGAAGCATGGTACAATGTAAAAATGGCTTTACAATAGAAAGCCTGGTACAATGCATTCTGGAGTCAGATCAGCCTGGGTTTGAATCTTGTCTATACTCTCTCACTATGCAAATTTGAGGGCAGCTAACCTCTTGCAGCCTTAGTTTTCCCATTTCTAAAATGAGATGATGTTTCTGAACTTTACCTGTTGAAAGTGCCCTATTTGGGTGCCCTGTGGTCTAAGGTGCTCCTAAGAAAGAAAGCAAGAATTTCTTAAAAGGGTTCAATGAACTTAGATTCAGATTCTAGCTATGTGTTACTTAACCTTTCTGTGTCTCTTTCCATGTGTAAGGTTTTTCATCCATATCTACCTTGCCCATGGTTGTTCTGACGATGAGATAATGTGTGTAAAGTATGCATGGCATGTAGAAGTTGCTGAGCAATAAATAGTAGCTTTATTATCTTTCTAACCAAGGTCTCTTCTGTTATTGTTTAAAGTAAAAACTTAAGCAATATATACGATGTTAATTTCAGTATTCTAATTTTGAAGAGCTTCAGGCCACAGTTTCATGAAAGGAGTCAAAAAAGACTGGGCATTTGAATGAACACATGGATATGCTGTCTGTGTTTACAGAAATAATCAAGTTCTAGGCTGGGAGATTTTTTTTTTTAAGAGTATTCTGTTTAGCCACATATAATCTTAAATTTCAACAAACTATAAAATTTAGTTACTAAGCTTCCTGACTTCTAACCAAATATAGGTCAGCTTCTGTTGCATGACATGTTCTTCTCTTCTTCCGCCCTAGGTCTTTCAGAGCCTTGAAGACCACCATTTGGAAGTGGTGGCTTTTTTCAGGGAAAATGGCTTCCATGGCCTTCTTGCCCATGACTCCGAGTATGCTCTCTACAATATTCCCTCTTACTACAGTTCCCATGCTCTGAAGCTGAGCTGGAATGGGAAGAACCTCACTACCAACCAGTTCCTGATGCAGGAGGTAGCCAAGCAGCTGGGCCTGAAGCGGATGAATTTTCCCATATTTGCTGCGCTGCTAGGTAGGTAGTCCAAGGAACAGACTCCAGTGATTGGTAAAGTCTCATCTTCCAGTGTTGAGAGATGAAGACCAGGGTGATTTAGCCTATCATTATTGGATTTATCTTCTGAAAGTCTGCCAAACACTGCTTCTGGGCTTCTTACTAGAAACACAGCATGTTTGTCTTAAGCATTAATACAGGATATTCCAGAACATTATTTTGATTCTTGTTAATCTTTTTCTTTTGTTACATGCCATCACTGTTTTATGCAAAGCACTATCTTAGGCCAAATGTTTTACTAGCTCTAGACAACTTTTGTTTCCCACTCAGAGTATTAGCATTTCATCCCCAGTGTCTAAATTTTGATGAAGAACGTGAATTGTTATTTATGTTTTTCTTTTTGTTTCTTTTGTACTAATGTTTTATTATGAAAATTTCCAAACATATAGCAAAATTGAAAGAATTTTGCAGTGAAAATCCTATATCTACCACTTGTATTCTGCCGTTAACATTTTACTATACTTGCTTTATCATATATCTGTCTGTTCTATCCATCTATCAATCAATCTTTTAAAGATGTATTTCAAAGTAAATTGCAGAGTTGATTATGTTTTGTGTTGGTTTTCCAAGGACGGACAGCATGGTCAATATCTTTTCTCAAGTGTGACATCTGCTTATAATCCCAAAGGATTTGAGCTTGGATGATCTAATGGAGTCAGTACAAGTTTTGGAATTAGGCCTTAGGCAAATCACTGAAGTTATACCTCCCTGGTTTCAGCTTTCGCATCTGTGAAATGGAATAATAATACCTCATGGTGTTATTGACAAGATTAAATGAAGTGAGAAATATAAAAAGTCCAGCACTTATTAGGCAGTCAGTAATTGGTAGCTGCTATTATAAAAGGCAGCATGACTAGGTGATAGAAAATAGCATGGGCTTTGGAGTCAGACAGTCCTAGCTTCTTATCCTGGGGTGGGCACTTATTAACTGTGCTACCTTGGGCTAAGTCCCCAAACTTGTCTGAACCTCAGTTTCCTTATCTGTAAAATGGGGATAATAATACTACCATACACAGTTATTATAAAGATGATATATATAATGCATATGATACATAGTAGGGAATCAACACAGCTACTGTAGTTATTACATGAAGAATATAGACTTGTGTGAATTATTTGATCATTTTCTCTCTCAGAAGCTCTTTCACGGCCTGGAGGTTCTAAGAAAACATTTGTACAGTCAATAAATGACAAATGTACTTTATAGGTAACCACATTCTCCCAGATGAGGACCTGGCCGCTTTTCACTGGAGCCTCTTGGGACCAGAACATCCCCTTGCATCACTTAAGGTAATGTGCCCCATTTCCTGCCTAAACATCCATGCCTAGGGGATCTCAGGTTTTGACTGGAGTTTTGATAGAATATCTTTCATTAGGTTTAAAATATTTCAAATATTTACAGACAAAAAATGTATAATTATGATCAATACCCTTTAAAAAGGAAAAACTCAGTTTTCTACCTTCTGTGTAGGGAAAAACACAGTTCTTCCTCCTATGTCTTTCTTTCCTGTGTCTTTCCTTTACGTTCACACTACTACCACACTCACACAGAATACTTCACTTCTGACACTTCTAGTCACTAAATATTTGGGGATTTTTCCCCACATCAAGCATTTCTCTGTGACACAAGCTGGGTGTTCTACAATTCAGCTCAATTTGGACACTATCTACCTGGGGGTGGCATCAGTTCCCACAGGTTAGGGGCTCAGTGATACAAGGCTGCCCTTCCTGCCACTTCACATGCCAGTCTCAAGCTCAGGATATCACCTGTGCTTCTGACCAACTAGCTATAGATCGGAGGTTCCAATGACCCCCTCTTTGGGTTCTATTAATTTGCTAGAGTGACTCACAGAACTCAGGGAAACACTTACTTACCTTTACCAGTTTATTAAAGGATATGATAAAGGATACAGATGAACAACCAGATAAAGAGATACATAGAGTGAGGTCTGGAAGGGACCTGAGTGCAGGAGCTTCTGTCCCCGTGGAGTTGGGGTGTGTCACCCTCCCAGTATGTGGATTTGTTCACCAACCTGGAAGCTCTCCAAACCCCATACTTTGGGGATTTTATGGAGACTTCATCATGTAGGCATGATCTATTATTAACTTCATTTTCAGCCCTTCTCCCTTCGCAAGAGAATGGGGATGGGGCTAAAAATTCCAAGATTCTAATCATGGTTTGGTTTTCCCAGTGACCAGCTCCCACTGATCTTGACAAAGTCACCAATGACCTCAATGTTAATAAATCCAACGGCCAGCTGTCAGTTTTCATCTTACTTGACCAGTCAGCAGCATACGACCCAGTTGCTCACTCCCTCTTCCTTAGAACATGTTCTTCACTTGGCTTTAAGGACACCGTTCTTTTCTGGTTTCCTTCCTACTTCACTGGCTGCTGCTTCCATATTTTTGCAGCTTTGTTGTCTTCTTCTCTACTTCTCTTTTCTGTCTACACATGCTGCGTTAGTGATCAATCTCATCTAGTCTCATGACTTTAAGTACCATCTGTCCATTGATGACCCCTAAATATATGTCTCCAGCTTTGACCTGCCCCTCGAAATCCAGATTCTAATATCTATCAGCCTACTAAACATCTAAAATAAATATATCCAAATGGAAATTCCTGATCTTTCCCCTAAACCTGTTCCTCTCACAGCCTTTCCCATTTTCATTAATGGCAACCTCATCTTTCCAGTTGCTCAGGCTAAACCCTTGGAGTCATCCCTCTCTCTCTTTTTCATGCCCCACATCTCCGTCAGCAAATACCATCTGTTCTCCCTTCAAAATATATTAACTTCTCTGGAGCCGGCCTTGTGTCATAGTGGTTAAGTTCACGTGTTCTGCTTCAGCGGCCTGGGGATCATGGGTTCAGATCCTGGGCGTGGACCTACACACCGCTCATCAAGCCATGCTGTGGCAGCGTCCCACATACAAAATAGAGGAAGATTGGCACAAATGTTAACTCAGTGACAATCTTCCTCTAGCAAAAAGAGGAAGTTTGGCAATAGATATTAGCTCAGGGCCAATCTTCTTCACCAAAAAAAAAAAAAAAAAATATATATATATATATCCACTTCTCACCATTTTCACTGCTACTCCCTTGGTCAAGCCACCATTCTTTCTTGCTTGGATTATTATAACAGCTTACTAACTGTTGGTCTTCTGCTTGTACTCTTCCCTGCTGCCCCACCCCCCACCCCAAATCTAGTCTCAATACAACAGCCAGAGTGATCCTTTTAAAAACTGACTCAGATCATGTCACTTCTCTATTCAGAATTCTCCAGTGGCTCTTCATGTCACTCACGCAATCTTTACCATGGCCTACAAAGCCCTGTACTGTCTGGCCCCCTGTTAATAGCTCTGATCTCATCTTCCCTTTTCTTTTGCTCATAGATCCTTTGCACTTACCATTCCCTCTACTTGGAATGCTTTCTTCTCCCACATAGCTATTTCCTCCTATAGGTTTTCTCAAATGTCACTTTCTCAGTGAGGCCTTTCCTGACCACCCTATTTAAAATTATATGCACACACACGCACACTTGCATTTGCTAGCCCGTTCTCTGCTTAGATTTTCTCCGTAGTACTTAATCTATATGTAGCACACTACGCATTTTACTTATTTATTCTGTTTGTTTGACTCCCCTCACCCCATCCCAACACACCTACATTAGAATTTAAGCTCCCATGAGGGCAGGGAGTTTTGTCTGTCTTGTTCACTGCTGTATCCCTGGTGCCTAGAACAGTGCCTGGCACACAGTAGGCAACAAATATTTGTTGAAGGAATGAAAGGTACAGCCTTTTGCCTAAACAATTTATATAAAAAGCCTTTAAGAAGTTTATACCCTTTGACTTAGTAATTACCATTCTAGGAAGCTTGTAATTAAATACTTGGAAAGTGGACAAGAAATCTTACCTAGATTTCATCACAGCATTAGAAAAGCCTTTATTTAAAAATTTTTCAAGCATCACAAAAGTAGAGAAAATGATATAATAATATACAACCATTGTAACATCTTCCAGATCCAACACTTAATCAAGATGTGGCCACATGTGCTAGGTTTTTTTTGTTGCTGTTGCTAATGTATTTTAAAAGAAATGCCAGACCTCAAATCATTTCAGTCTCACATTCTTTGATATGCATTTCTAAAATATATGGGCATTTTCTTACATAAGCACAATGCCATTATAACTCCTAACAAAATTAATGATAATTTCTTGGTATCATCTTAATATCCTGTCCAATTTTGGATTTTCCTGATTGTCTCAAAAAGGCCTTTTTGACATCCCATGCACATGGATTGGAAGAATAAACATAGTTAAAATGTCCATATTACCTAAAGCCATCTACAGATTCAATGCAATCCCAATCAGATTCCCAATGACATTCTTCACGGAAATAGAAAAAGAATACTAAAATTCATATGGGGCAACAAAAGACCCCAAATAGCTAAAGCAATCCTAAGAAAAAAGAACAAAGCTGGAGGCATCACAATCCCTGACTTCAAAACATAGTACAAAGCAATAGTAATCAAAACAGCATGGTACTTTTACAAAAACAGACACACAGATCAATGGAACAGAATTGAAAGCCCAGAAATAAAACCACACATATACGGACAGCTAATTTTCGACAAAGGAACTAAGAACATACAATGGAGAAAGGAAAGTCTCTTCAATAAATGGTGTTGGGAAAACTGGACAGCCACATGCAAGAGAATGAAAGTGGACCATCTGCTTTCGCCATTCACAAAAATTAACTCAAAATGGATCAAAGACCTGAAGGTGAGACCTGAAATATAAAACTCATAGAAGAAAATATAGGCAACACACTATTTGACATTGGTCATAAAGGAATCTTTTTGGATGACATGCCTACCCAGACTAGGGAAACTAGAGAAAAAATAAGCAAGTGGGACTTTATCAGATTAAAGAGCTTCTACAAGACAAACACAAACAGAATCAAGATGAACAGACAACCCACCAGCTGGGAGAAAATATTTACAAAACATATATCTGACAAGGAGTTAATCTCCATAATATATAAAGAACTGACCCAACTGAACAACAAAAAAACAAACAACCTGATCTAAAAATGGGCAGAGGAAATGAACAGACACTTCTCCAAAGAAGATATACAGATGGCCAATAGGCACATGAAAAGATGTTCAACATCACTAATCATCAGGGAAATGCAAATCAAATAACACTACGATATCACCTCACGCCCGTTAGAATGGCTATAATCACCAAGACAAAAAACAACAAATGTTGGAGAGGATGTGGAGAAACAGGAACCCTCATACACAGCTGGTGGGAATGCAAACTGGTGCAGCCTCTATGGAAAACAGTATGGAGATTCCTCAAAGAATTAAAAATAGAAATACCCTATGATCCAGCTATCCCATTACTGGGAATCTATCCAACGAACCTGAAATCAACAATCCAAAGAGGCTTATGTACCCCTATGTTCATTGCAGCATTATCCACTATAGCCAAGAAGTGGAAGCAACCTAAATGTCCCTCGACTGATGATTGGATCAAGAAGATGTGGTATATATATACAATAGAATACTACTCAGCCATAAAAAAAGACAAAATCGTCCCATTTGCAACAACATGGATGGGCTTGGAGGGTATTATGTTAAGTGAAATAAGCCAGAAAGAGAAAGACAAACACTGTATGATCTCACTCATATGTGGAATATAAACCAACACATGGACAGAGAAAACTGTATTGTGGTTACCAGGGGCAATGGGGGTAGGGGGTGGGCACAAGGGGTGAAGGGAGACATATATATGGTGATGGACAAACAAAAATGTACAGCCCAAAATTTCACAATGTTATAAACTATTAAAACATCAATTTAAAAAAAAGGCCTTTTTGTGGTTAGTCAAATCAGGATCCAGACATGGTCCACACATTACAACATTACCTTTAAGAGCACAAAATTGGAAGCAGCCAAAATGTATCATGAAAGAAAACTAATTAATTGTGCCAGTATCATAAAATAGTGGTTATCTCTGTAGTAGGATTATGGATGATATCATTTTATCTCTTTCTTTATACTTTTAGATCTTCTCCAAATGTTCTGTACTGAGAATTAGGGGGAAAATTATTTTAAAGAAAAGGTTTTATCTCTCAGTGGAATTTACTGAATTTGAATTCTGCATTTCATCCCTACCTCACCCTTTTTCTTAGTGCTCCATCTTTGACATCAGTATCCAGTATCCCTTGCTTGTCTTACCTCTTCTAGGTCCGAGCTCATCAGCTGGTTCTTCCTCCCTGTGATGTGGTGATCAAGGCTGTTTCCGAGTATGTTAGTTCTATCAAAGACCCTTCAAACCTGGATGTGGTTGGGAAAGATGTTTTCAAACAGTCTCAGGTGAGCTAGCCTTCCCCTTCCTAAGAGTCACCAGTTTTCTAACCTTTACCAGTACCACCCGCAGATCTGATCTTTTTCTGTGCTGCCTACTTTCTCTCCTCCTAGCTGCCTGTCTTCTCCATGCTTACAGACTGGAGACCCAAAGTTTCCTTTATAAAACATTACTAGGCCTGGATTGAAAGGATTCTTTACCTTTTTTCTACTGATTATCAAAGTTCTACAAGCTCATTCTGGAAAATTTAGAAAATAAATAAAAAAAGTCACTTAAAATCTCATTACCCAGAAACACCTTGCTATAGTTATAATCTGGCATATGTCCTTCTACTCTTTTTTTTGTTTCAATGTGTATTTTAATATAAAGGAGATCTTGCTTAGTGGAGGATAATGGGTAATGAAAAAGACCACTTAAAGTAGGTCTACATAAAACAAGAATCAGTATTTCATTGTTAATAGTAAAAAAAGGCTTGCCTGGGATTTTTGTCTTGTGAAATGAAACTCAAAGTTAGGAAAATAAGTTATTTTTAACAATTTAATTTATACTTGCACTCTGGGTTTTTCAGTTTCATTTTTTAAATTAACATGCAGTAAAACCGACTTTTGTATATGTGTGTGTAGAGTTCTATGAATTTTTAACACATATAGATTTATGTAACCACCATCACAATCAGGATCAAAACAGTTGAACCACCCCAAAAATCTCTCATGCTATCCTTTCGTAATCACACCCAACCCTATCCCTAAATCCTGGCAACTACCCGTCTCTCTGTCACTATACTTATATCTTTTAGAAAATAGCATAAGAATGGAATCATAGAGGATGTAATCTTTTGAGAATGGCATTTTTCATTCAATATAATGCCTTTGAGATTCTTCTAAGTTGTTGCATGTTCCATCTATCAATAATTCATTCCTTTTCATTGCCAAGTAGTATAGTATACATTGTGTGGAGATACCACAGTTTGTTTATCCATTCACACCTAAAGGATATTTGAGTGGTTCCAATTTTTGGTGGTTTGAATAGAGTTGCTATAAACATTTGTGTACAGGTTTTTGTGTGAGCATAAGTTTTCATTTCCCTAGTGTAAATACCTAGGAGTGGGATTTCTGGGTCATATGGTAAATGACTATTTAACTTTAACTTTATAAGACCCTGCCAAACCATTTTGCAGAGTGGCTGTTTCAGTCGTCACCAGCACTTGTTATTGTCAGTACTTTTTTGTGTGTGTGTGAGGAAGATCAGCCCTGAGCTAACATCCATGCCAATCCTCCTCTTTTTGCTGAGGAAGACTGGCCCTGAGCTAACATCCGGCCCATCTTCCTCCACTTTATGTGGGACGCTGCCACAGCATGGCCTGACAAGCGGTATGTCGGTTTGCGCCTGGGATCCGAACCCGGGCCGCCAGCAGCGGAGTGTGCGCACTTATCCGCTATGCCACGGGGCTGACCCCGTGTCAGTACTTTTTTAATAGTCATTCTAATAGGTGTGTAGTGGTAGCGCATCATAATTTTAATTTGCATTTCTCAAATGACTAATGATGAACATTTTGTCTTGTGCTTATTTGTCATCCATATATCCTCTTTGGTTAATGGTCTATTCATAAACAGTCTTTTGCCCATTTTTTAATTGGGCTGTTTGTGTACTTACTGTTGAGTTTTGAGAGTTCTTTATATATCCTGCATACATGTCCTTTGTCAGATATCTGGTTTGCAAATATTTTCTCCCAGTCTGTAGTTTGTCTTTACATTCTTTTCACAGTGCCTTTTGCAAAGCAAAAGTTTTTAATTTTTATTAGTTTTTATCTTTTGTGGATCATGCTTTTGGTGTCATGTCTAAGAACTTTTTGCTTAACTATAAGCATGACAATATTGTCCTGTTTTCTTCTAAAAATTATATAGTTTTACACTTTACATTTAGAACAAGTCATCCATTTTGACTTCATTTTTGTATAAAGTGTAAGGTGTTTTGTTTTGTTTTTGCATGTGGATGTCCAATTGTTTCAACATAGTTTGTTGAAAAAACTGTCCTTTCTCCATTGAATTGCCTTGTCAAAAATCATTTGTCCATATTTGTGTGGGTCTATTTCTGGACTCTATTCTGTTCAATTGACCTGTGTGTCTATCCCTTTGCAAATAGCACACTGTCTTGAATACTGTAGCTTGATGGTAAGTCTTAGAATTGAGTAGTGATTCCTCCAGTTTTATTCTTCTTTTTCATAATTATTTTGTCTATTCTAGTTCCTTTGTCTTTCCATATACATTTTAGAATAATCTTGTCTATATCTACAAAAAGTCCTGCTAGCATTTTAATTGGAATTCCTTTAAATATATAGATGAATTTTGTTGAGTCTTCAAATCCATAAATACAATTTGCCTCTCCATTTATTTAGGTCGTGTTTGATTTCTTTCATCAGTGTTTTATCATTTTTAGCATAGAAGTCCTATAAATGTTGTTTTTATATTTATGTTTAAGGCCCCTATGGTAAAGGATATTGTTTTGTTTATTTCAGTTTCTAATTGTTCATTGCTAGTATATAGACGTATGATTGATTTTTGTGTGTTGACCTTGTATCCTGCAACCTTTCTAAACTTGCTAGGAGTGTTTTGGTAGATTTCTTGGTATTTCTGTGTAGGTGATCATGTTGTCTGTGAATAGGGACCATTTTATTTCTTTCTTTTCCAGTTTGTATGCCTTTTTATTCTTGATTTACTGCACTGTCTAGTATTTCCAAACAATGTTGAATAGGAGTGCTGAGAGAGAAGATGTCCTTTTCTTGTTCCTGATCTTTTGGGAGAGCATTCAGTCAGTGTTAAGTATGATATTAGCTATAGGTTTTGTAGATGCACATTATCAGGTTGAGGAAGTTCTCTTCTACTCATAGTTTACTGAGAGTTTTTATCATTAATGGATGGTGTATTTTCTCAAATGCAATTTTTACATCTGTTGATAGGATCATGTGGTTTTTCTTTAGTCCATTGATTTTTGAATATTGAACCATCCTTGCATTTCCAGGATGTGGTCAAGCTGTATTATTCCTTTTTAAATTGCTGGATTTGAATTACTAGTATTTCATTGAGTATTTTTGCATTTATTTTCATGAGGTATATTGGTTTGTAGTTTTCTGTGCTTTGTCTGCTTTTGATATCAGGGTAATGGTGGACTCATAAAATGAGTTGGCAAATATTCCTTCCTGTTCCAGTTTTTGGAAAATATTGTGTACAATTGGTGTTGTTCTTCTTTAATTGTTTGGTAGAATTTGCCAGTGATGTGTCTGGCATGGATTTCTTTGAATTCATCCTGTTTATAGTTTGCTGAGCTTCTTGAATTTCTAAGTATGTCTTTCACTAAATTTGCAAAGTTTTCAGCTATTATTTCTTCAAATAGATTTTCTGTTCCACAGTCTCCTTTCCTTCCATGATCACAATGGTACCAATGTTAGACCTTTTGGTATTATCCCATACATCCTTGAAGCTCTGTGTTTTTTAAAGCATTATTTTTCTCCGTGTATTTCACACTGGATAATTTCTCCCATCTAAGTACTAACCAGGCCTGACCCTGCTTAGCTTCCGACATCAGACGAAATCAGATGCATTGAGGGTGGTATGGACGTAGATAACACAGGATAATTTCTATTGATTTATCATCAACTTCATTGACACTTTCCATGGTCATCTCTATTTTGCTTAGAGCCCATCCAATGAGGTTTTTTTTTTTCTTTCTCTCTACTTTTTTTTTTCCTGGATGTCTTAATAGTTTATAACATTGTGAACTTTTAGTTGTACATTATTGTTTGTCAGTCACCATGTAAATGCCTCCCTTCACCCCTTGTGCCCACCCCTCAACCCCCTTGCCCCTGGTAACCAACAAACAGTTCTTTCTGTCCGTGTGTTAGTTTATCTTCCACATAGTGAAATCATGTGGTGGTTGTCTTTCTCTGTCTGGCTTATTTCGCTTAACATAATACCCTCCAGGTCCATCCACGTCATTCCAAGTGGGACAATTTTGTCTTTTTTTATGACTGAGTAGTATCCCATTGTATATATATATATACCACATCTTCTTTATCCAATCATCAGTCAAGGGACACTTGCATTGTTTGCTTCCACTTCTTGGCTAGAGTGAATAATGCTGCAATGAACATAGGGGTGTATAAGCCTCTTTGGGTTGTTGATTTCAGGTTCGTTGAATAGATACCCAGTAGTGGGATAGCTGGATCATAGGGTATTTCTATTTTTAATTTTTTGAGAAATCTCCACAGTGTTTTCCATAGAGGCTGCACCAGTTTTCATTCCCACCAGCAGTGAATGAGCATTCCCTTTTCTCCACAACCTCTCCAACATTCGTTATTTTTTGTCTTGGTGATTATAGCCATTCTAACGGGTGTAAGGTGATATCTTAGTGTAGTTTTGATTTGCATTTGCCTGATGATTAGTGATGCTGAACATCTTTCCATGTGCCTGTTGGCTATCTGTATATCTGCCTTGGGAAAGTATCTGTTCATATCCTCAGCCCATTTGTTGATTGGGTTGTTTGTTTTTTTGTTGTTCAGTTGTGTGAGTTCTTTATATATTATGGAGATTAACCCCTTGTCAGATGAATGATTTGCAAATACTTTCTCCCAGCTGGTGGGTTGTCTATTCATTTTAATCCTGGTTTCATTTGCGTTGTAGAAGCTATTTAATCTGATGAAGTCCCACTTGTTTATTTTTTTCTTTTGTTTCCCTTGTCCGAGTAGACTTGGAATTCAAAAAGATCCCTTTATGATCGATGTCAAAGAGTGTACTGCCTATATTTTCTTCCAGGAGTTTTATAGTTTCAGGTCTCACTTTCAAGTCTTTGATTCATTTTGAGTTAATTTTTGTGTATGGCAATTAAAGATGGTCCACTTTCATTCTTTTGCATGTGGCTGTCCAGTTTTCCCAGCACCATTTATTGAAGAGACTTTCCTTTCTCCATTGTATGTTTTTAGCTCTTTTGTTGAAGATTAGCTATCTGTAGATGT